CACTAACCTACCAAGGGTGACTAAGTCACATATTCCAGCTGCTAATGCTCCAATTCGAGTTGATATCCCGACAGAACAATTAATTAAAGCAAATGAGTCTAAGCCATGCTTGAAACGTGGTAGACCAATCGGTTCTAAAGATAAAAATCCTCGAAGAAGAAAAGGAGCAAGTGATCAAAGTGAACATAACACAGAGGTAGTGGCTCAAGAAGAGCCCCAAGACGTAACAAATGATAAGACCTTAGGGGAGGTCCAGGTACCTAAAAATAATGAAAATGAAGAGATATCAATAAGTTACGTCTCAACCGGGAAAAGATGGAACCGAAATAATATTGTTATCGATAACATTTTTGCTTATAATGTTGTTGTTGAAATAATGCAACAAGATGAGGATCTTGAACCAAAATCTGTCAATGAATTTAGACAGAGAAATGATTGGCCAAAATGGAAAGACGCTATCCAGGCAGAGTTAACTTCACTTGGAAAACGTGAAGTCTTCGGACCCATAGTTCGAACACCTGAAGGCATAAAGCCAGTAGGGTATAAATGGGTTTTTGTGCGAAAACGAAATGATAAAAATGAAGTTGTTAGATATAAAGCACGACTTGTGGAACAAAGGTTTTCCCAAAGGCATGGAATTGATTATATGGAGACATATTCTCCTATAGTGGATGCTATTACCTTCAGGTATCTCATAAATATGGCAGTACAAGAAAAACTTGATATGCATCTAATGGATGTTGTTACAGCCTATTTGTATGGATCATTAGACAATGAAATTTTTATGAAAGTACCTGAGCGATTTAAAGTGCCAGAAGCATATAAAAATTTTCGAGAAACTTGTTCAATAAAGCTTTAAAGTCTTTATACGGATTGAAACAATCAGGACGTATGTGGTACAATCGCCTAAGTGAATACCTGTTGAAAGAAGGGTACAAGAATGATCCAATTTGTCCTTGTGTCTTTATAAAAAGGTCTGGATCTGAATTTGTTATAATCGCCGTGTATGTTGATGATTTAAATATCATTGGAACTCCTGGGGAGCTTCCAAAAACAGTAGACTGTTTGAAGAAAGAATTTGAAATGAAAGATCTTGGAAAGACAAAATTTTGTCTTGGTCTACAAATTGAGTATATGAAAGATGGAATATTTGTCCATCAATCGACATACATCGAAAAGATTTTAAAGCAATTCTATATGGATAAGTCATATCCATTGAGTACCCCGATGGTTGTGAGATCACTTGATATAAAGAAAGATCCATTCCGACCTCATGAAAATGATGAAGAGCTTCTCGGTGCCGAAGTACCATATCTTAGTGCAATTGGGGCATTAATGTATCTTGCCAATAATTTCCGACCAGATATAGCTTTCTCAGTAAGCTTATTGGAAAGATTTAGTACTTCGCCAACACAAAGACACTGGAATGGTATTAAACATATATTCAGATACCTCCAAGGGACCATTGATATGGGTTATTTTATTCAAATGAATCCAAGCCATCATTGATTGGTTATGTAGACGCAGGATATTTGTCTGATCCACACAAAAGTCGATCTCAGACAGGCTATTTATTTACAAGTGGAGGTACATCCATATCATGGCGTTTGACAAAACAAACTATGGTTGCTACTTCTTCAAATCATGCAGAGATAATAGCCATTCACGAAGCAAGTCGAGAATGCGTTTGGTTAAGATCTATAACTCAACACATTCAGCAAACATGTGGTCTTTCTTTGAAAGAGAATATTCCAACAATATTGTATGAAGACAATGCTGCATGCATAGCTATAAAATAAAAGTAATGCGGTAAAATGTAAATAAGAAGAGATAGAAAGAATGGAGAAGTGTTTTCTTCTTTCACTTTGGTGTATTTTTCCATTGCAATTACATGACTTTTTATAGGCATAAAAAGTAAAGATGATGGACATAAAGTAGGAAATTTAATCTTTAAGTTATTCACAACATGGACATCCAATGTAGCATCTAATGTAGTATCCAAAGTAGTATCTAATGTACAAACTATTCATAACACGAAGTTCTTTTTAAAAAAAGAAGGTCACGTACACACACAAAAAGTGAACAACAATTAAATGGGAAGTCAAATAGTATTTGGTTCAAAGTCCATACAATTAGGTTGTCATTTTGGTAAAATCCTATTTGATTATGAAATTCTAAATTTAGAACTTTTTACATAGTTTAAATAAAGTATTTTAATATACAAATTGAATTAATTTTGTAGCTCTAAATTTTTGGCAAATAACTTAAATTACTATTTTATCCAATATAAAATATATTTTTAAAGGGTAAAAAAGACGAACGATATTTGGCTAAGAGTCTTCGTGCTTTTAATATAGTATTAGTCTTTATGTACGTGCTTTGCACGTATATCTCTCGCTTTAATTAAAAGATATGTTGAAAAGATATTTCTTTCTATAACTTCATATAACAAACGTTTTTCGCTTTATTATGTCACTTTACCCATCCGACTATTCATTTATTATCTTATCACAAGGAGCTTCTGTGGTGAAGGGTCATTTGTTGCTAAGTATTTAAGTATCTTCCTAGTAATACTATAATAGTTGTTGGTATCATCTTAAGCGAAGTCAAAATTAAAAGATATTTTACTTCCATTAGGGAACTTGACAACGGATATCTCATTTAATTGATCGACATATTGTGCTAGTTAAGATTATTTTTTTCATCATATATTTTGGTCAACTCGCATTTTTATTTGATGATACACATATTTTATTTATTAAGCAACTTTTATTACTATCATCATTGGGGTATGATAGTCAACTGTTCTTAATGAGGGCTAAAATCTCTTATTGTATGCTTTTCTCAGTTTTTGAAATGAAGAAAAAATCGTCAAATGTTGGATTTATTTTTGTTTTCATATTTTCTATTAGCTGAATAATTTTCATTTGATGTCATAAGTATAATTCTATCAGGTATGTATTTATAGTCTATATTCTCGTTAAATTTGGAACTATTGGCAGTAATTGATGGTTCACCTCTAAAGCTATTACTTTCTCTTCCATATAATATTTCTAATCTAAATATTAAATGCCTTACTGGTAGCGATTTGATTAATTGGGATCCAATTATAAAACCTTTTTCAGTCTTACTGCAACCCAAGAAAAAGAGGGGAATAAAAAATACATATTAAAACCTAACATTTTTTTAACCGAACAAGGAATACTTCTAAACTTAAAAGGAGTTGAAAGTTCTCGAAGGATTTAAAATTAAATTTACTAATCTTATTCATTACTCCCTCTGGTCCATAATAAGTAATTTTTTGGATGTTTTTACATAAATTAATAAATCCATCTTTTAACATTAATTAGTAATAAAATTGACCATATTAACCTTTACTATCTCTTTACATAAATACTCCTAATACATACTCCAACACTATTTACTCCAAGGGTAATGTAGGAAAAAATTAATTAGTTCATTCTTGAAATCTGGAAAAATCAGATATTTTGGACCTAAAAAAAAGTCAAAAAATTACTTATTATGGACCGGAGAGAGTATTTTTTTTAACAAATCTATAGTTTAAATAAGAAGAATTTAATATGCAAAATTTGGCTGATTTTGAAATCGTGCATATTAAGAAAATTAAATGACTATTCACTAATATTAGTAAAATAATTAAATAACTATTTTGTTCAGTATCAAATTTATTTTTGTAGTAGCTCTATCCAGATTTTCGATGATGAAGACCGTAGAATAATACCTTCTTATATAAATGTGTTCGCCTATATAATTCGGGAAAAAAATTATGTAAGGTAAAATTGTATAATTGAAATAGACAACCAAAAAAAAAGTAAGGACTCCTAACTAAAAGAATAAAAAAGAATTCTAAACTAAAGGAATAAGAAAGTGCTCGAAATAAGAGATTCTCCTAAACGTAAAAGGAGTTGTAAATTTGTAATAAGTTAAACTTGATAAAGGAACTCCTAAAAACCGAGAAGAATTGCAACTTTTACGGTTGCCTCATGTGTATTTTAAACTTTAAATGGGAAAAGAATTCTANATTATGGTAGGTAAAATTGTATAATTGAAATAGACAACCCAAAAAAAAAAGTAAGGACTCCTAGCTAAAAGAATAAAAAAGATTTCTAAACTAAAGGAATAAGAAAGTGCTCGAAATAAGAGATTCTCCAAAACGTAAAAGGAGTTGTAAATTTGTTTTAAGTTAAAATCGAGAAGAATTGCAACTTTTACGGTTGCCTCATGTGTAGTTTAAACTTTAAATGGGAAAAGAATTCTAGCCATAAACGATTTACAATTATATTTTCAAATTATATAAATATTTAAGGTTATAAAAGTGGATCAATGTTTTGAGAATATTTTAATCTTTCAACATTTAACATAAATTATTCGTACTTTATAATAATATAGATAGATATAGATAGATATTGGTTGGTTATTATTTTTAGTTTAAGTCGAATGGCTATTTAGTTTAATTCTTCTTTAACAACTTGTTTGGATGGTTGTTACATATCGTTTCATAATGTATCGTATTGTATTGTATTGTATTGTACTGTATCGTTTGATGAATACAATGTTTGGATGGATTGTGTCGTTTTGTCGTCGTTTCATGGTATCATGTACCAGTAATATGATGAATAAACTTGCAATATTATAAAGAAAAATTATGAGATGGTATATAAAAAGGTAGGTTAAATGATAAAATAAAATAATTTAATAATAATAAAGGGTGAGATTGAGAGAAAAACACAAGAAAACGACGCGACCACACCAAATCGGTCGTTACATAAAGTGGCACATTTCATTGTTACGTAACGACAAATTTAAGTATACGATACAATAAAATTTAAGTAACAATCAAAATAAACATTGTATTTAAAGTAACAATACGATACGATACAACTGATAACAACCATCCAAACAAGTTGTAAATTAATCAGCCCACTCAATTTGGGAACTAAAATACTTGAAGCAAAGAAAAAAGAAAGAAGAAAAGCATAGGAAAAAGGCACAACGGAGAGGGCAAGAAAGAGAAAAAATGGGGAAAAGGTGGCAAAACAACCTGCGGCTCTTTTTGGATTTTCAACAATACAACTGCTACTCATTTTCATGGAGTCCACCATAAAATCCCTTCATCATTTTCACTTTCCTCTTTACAAAAATTACCATTCCAACTCCCTAAACCCTCATACCCAATTTACCCATCTTCATTTTAATCACCGTCCACTCTCTAGTTTTCACCTTCAAGCCTCAGGACGACGCATTTCCAATTTTCCTCAGGTCTTTCTTGTTTATTTTGACCCGTTTAGTTTTAATTCGTTTTTTTTTAATTAATGCTTATTTGGTACTTGGGATTTGTTTTTTAAAGAGAGGTGATGATTTGGTTGGGGATTCACGAAATTGGAGGCGTGATCGAGGCAGCGTAGTGACTGGAGACTATGTGTATGAAGAGTACGAAGATGAAGATGATGAAGACGAAGAAGAGGAGGATCGAAGTTTAGATCTGCTGGTTAAATTTGTTCAGAACGTTTTCAAAAAGCTTTCTCGAAAAGCTAGGAAAGCTGTCCGGTCCGTTTTGCCTGTTTCAATTTCCAGTCAATTGGTATCCTGCTGCTCAAATCTCATTTTCACTGTTCAATATGAATTTCTTCTGCTTATTGTTAGTAAAATCGAAGCTTTTATAATCATGCTTTCCATGAGTTTAGAATAATAACTTTGATATTTGAGCTCAGTTTTATATGAATCAATCAATCAATCAACTATGTCTCTGTCCCTAATTATTTGTGGTCGACTATATGAATCCTTTATACTCGTTCCAATCTGTTCAGGTGTGATTCATTCCAATGCTAATATTAAGCTCGTGCTATTAAAGTATATCATAGTTCTACGATCAAATCGACATGTAATTGAATTTTTTTAGTCACTAGGAGGAAACTAATGGATTAGGCATGCTAGCATTAGAAATGTGACATTGTGAGGGAAAAAACGAAGTAAAACAGAGATAGAGTAAGTAGCAAGATGATCACCGTCTTCAGTACAGATGTTAGGTGCTTAAAATTCCTGTGAGTCTTTTCTTTTTCCATCTCGAATGGTGATTTGATTTGAAAACATCGTCAGCGACATTATTAACTTTTTATCAGTCCACTAACACTCGGATAGTAGGAATTCATTGATTTTCTTTCTTGGATGTAATGCTTTTAATTGTCCTGTTACTTTGTCCCTTATTACGGATAGAGTTAGCTCCTCTTCTTTTTTCTGGTAACAGATTATTTTATTAGTACTAAGCATCACAAAACTAAGATAGTGCTGCAGATAGTACGATAGAAACAGAAAAGAGTCCCTGCTAGTCCTGAATGATGCCTACAAAAACCACAGTAGCTTCCCTTATCAGTTCTTTAGGGTGCCTACAAAATTTATAAGATCTTCAGCATCGCGTGATTCTTTCTTACACCAACAAAGAGCAGTGCCAGACACATTACTTTATCATACTGATTGATTTATTTTTAGTTTCAAAGTACCTTGAGTTTCTTTCTCTCCAACATGGCTAGAATTTTCTTATCTCTCGTTATAAAACCTTGATAACATAAGGATAAAACATCAGTCAATTTTACCAAATATTACCTAGTATCCTAGCAAGTTTAGCCTGCGAAGACTGATGCATCTTTAAAGGCATATTGGGAATGGCAGTGGATGAGTATTGCATGTTTATATGGATCTTAATGACTCAAAAGGTGCAAGATCTCGGGGGTTCTGCTGGATTTCACGTCACATAGAGGGCCACCGTGAATCCATTTGGATTTTTATGATCAACTGTACCTAAAATGAAACAGCCCCTTTTTACTATGATAGAGTTACAATGTTAACCCTTTCAGCTGCAATATGTGCAAATGTGAATGTCTCGCTCTCTAATGAAGTTTAGATAATATACTTTTAAGTAGAGATGATGTAAGGAAGTTTAGATAAGGAAGTTGACTTGATTATTGTTGTAGCAAATACGGTCATCCTGCACAAGCATGTTATTGGTGGAAGACTTAAGATTTTGTGTATATTCACGTTCTTTACGGATGACATGGCAAATGAAGTTACAGTGACACCATGTTCTTAGGCAGTGATGATCCTAAATTAATTTTTGTGGATAAATAGACTTCTACTTCATCCTTCCAATTTAGAATTAGCATCCCTCTTGATGTGTAACATAGCAGAAATGCTGATATGAGATTATGTTGATAATAAATTTTCCAGGAGAAATAATCTTAAAATCTGTTTGGTACGAATGTCTTCAGAAGAACCACTCTTAAATTCATCCTACATATGTCAATATCTAGTCCTCCCTTTTGTATTTATACACAGTTAATTGTATTAGGTTTCTTGTTTACATATAGAAAACATTGTTTTGCTTTAAATGTATACGATCTCCATTAATTTACATTTTCTTAAGTTATCAAGAAGATTCTGTTTTAATGTTTTCTCAGATGTTTTTTTTTGTTCTCTTTGATTTGGAGACTCCCTGTTTCTGTATGTCATCTAAGTATCAACTCAATAGTAAATCGAACACCTGCTTTTGTAATGTATATCACATGGTTAGCTGCATTGCTCTCTCAATGGAAGACTAGCTGATCAGCTCTCAGTAGATTAGAATTGACTATCAAGAAAATAAGGGAATATTTCTCCATGAGGAATCGGAAGATTATAATAGAGAATTTTAAACTTCTCTTTCAGTGGAAATAGATGGAAGGGACTGAGCAATCCATATGTTAGCTAACATATCCTGCATTATTAATTTCCTCAGTCCCTGCGCAAGGAGTTATAAGCTCCTTATTCAATAATTCATTATGCTAGCCGAGTGTTATCAAAGGCACGCTTAGCGAGGCTCACAACATGTTGTGCGCTTCGCCTCGCTTAGCGGGCGCTTTAGTGTTGTCATCAAGGGTCTAAGGCATACTTTTCCTTGCCAATGAACGTAATCCTGAAGAGGCGACACTAAATAATTGATATTTCACTATTTTCTTCGATTTCTTTGTGTATATATTTGGTATTCATGCTTATAGATATTAGTCTTGGACTACATATACATATTTGTAGTTTCTCTCCATTTGCACCTTTCTTCATTAAAGCCCACGCTTTATTTGCGCTTAAAGCCCCAACAGACCTTGGAGTTTTTTTGCGCTTCACCTTTGATAACACAGCTAGCTCACACTCCATGCTAGGGGTGGGTATCGGTCAGTTCGGTTCGGTTATGAATATTATCGGTTTAGCATATCGGTTATCGGTTTACAAATTTGATAAACCGATAACCGAACCGATAAGATATCGGTTATTGATCATTATCGGTTTGGTTATCGGTTTACCTGATAAGATAACTCAATCAAGAGCTAAGCAAAAAAGAAAAGACAATTCACCGGAGTTAAGCAAAAAAGAGAAGAATTCACATATAGCATACTAAAGACTTATGCTAGGAGTAACTAGTAAGGTATATGAAGAATGAAGATGAAGCAACTGAAGAGTGGGGTTGAGAAAGAATAGGAGAGAATGAACTGAAGCCCTAGCATTTGTATATACTTAAGGATAAAGTCGTAATTTTATTAATTCTTATTGGGTTATCGGTTAACCCATTAACAAAATTGGCAAACCAAGGCCCGAACCGATAACCCAATAGTAAAAAAATTCTAAACCGTTACCGAACCATTAACTCAATAACCCGATACCGATAACCCAATAAAAAATTAACAGTTCGGATTATCGGTTTTACCCGATATATGCCCAGCCCTACTCCATGCAATTTTTAATTCTTTTTTTTAATTCCCAGCTTAAGAATTTATTAGCTTTTCATTTTAAACAGAGAATATATTAGCTTCTTATTCAATTTTCTTTTCATGGATTTTTGTTCTTATTCCAAAACTTTTTATTTTCTTGCAAACAAGTGGACCGACGTACAACGTGGGAAAATAGACCTTCTTACATAGAGCTTGATATTTTTCCACATTGGCTGGTTGTTTAGTTAGTAACATTGATTATTGGATGTAGGTGGCATTTTCTGTTAATGGAGTTATAATTTTGACATTTTTGTGGCTATCGAAGGCAGTTCTTGAGGTAATTCTTCCACTCTTTTTCTGTGCTTGTGTGCAATGTGGTACCTTACTTAGTAATGTACTTACTATTCTATAGTCTTCTAGTGAGAAACGTCCTATGGGCATGTAGGTCTTCAGTTAATACATTGAGCTCTTCTAATTTTCTTTAATTATTCAGCATTTTACTCTTTCAAGCTGAATGGATCTTCTGCTATATATATGTGTGTATGTCCGCGCGTGTCTCATTTTGGACATCTTCAGATCAAACAGATATGAGAAAAACTTAACTTATCTGTACTGTGCATAGCTGTAACACAGTCTAGAAGACTCAACTTGTTGTTTGCTTATTACAACACATAATCTTCTGCTAATTGTTGTGCCTACTGCCCGAGAGCGCTTAAACCAAATAAGAAGGATTCTTACTTCAAAATTGACATGGACTTTCATTTGATGATTCATTTGCTCACAATATTGATTTTTGGTGCATTCTCTAACAGACTACCCTAGACTACCCTCCCTGGACCCCACGGTATGGGATAATACTGGGTATGTTGTTGTTGTTGTCTCTGACAGAGTTGAAACCATTTTGAAGCTTTAGTAGGATGTTACTTCATCTTAGGCTCTGCAGCATGAGAATATTTTCAATTATACTCTTGCTTAGACCTATGCACCATTACTAATCAAATTTTTACTTCAGCATTTTCCGCATTGTTAATTGGACTTTGTCTTTGTTGATTAATCAATTATTACAGTAAAGAAGCTAGAGCAAGGCCTAATTGAAAATGAAGCGAATTATTGACTCTCTGTGAATTGAGTTCCTTGTAATTAGAGTGAAATTAAGTGTGCCATCTTGTCTTTTTTCGCTCGTTAGTTCCCCTTGTCCCGTGGATGACTTCCTTTTTATAGTTAGTATTCTCTTACTTTGATCTTTATCATTTCCAGGTATTTTGCACCCTCGGGAGCGTAGTTTTTGCTAGTATCTTACTTATTCGAGGAGTATGGACAGGCATATCATACTTACAAAATAATCACAACCATAGGACAGACGATGATGATCGTCGTGCATGGAGCGGGGTGCAACCTGCGAGTTAAATGGCCGAATAGTAAAGCTTCAAATGAGATCCCATAGTGTTATTCCTGCTAGATGGGGATGACCCCTTGAAGATTACAGCTACTCTGATGCTATTCGGAAACAAATAGTATAGAAATTTTCCTAACCCAATAATTGGGTTAAGGCCCTTTTACATCTACTGAATTAAATCCCGCCAGGTCGAAGCTGGATCCTTTGTCTCCTAGACCTATGTGGTTGTAACTAGGATGTCAAATGTACTTCACACAAATGTAAACCGCCCAACTTATCCAACTTATGTTAGGAATACGTCTATATAATTGGTTAGATTTTGCATAAGTCAAATCTCTTTTACGGATCAATTTGGTCTACCTAAAAAAGAATTGGTAAACTATTATTGTGGAGGCAACTAGCACCAGAGAACAAATAGCAGTGTATGTTTATTGGAAAATTTATGCCACACAGGTAATATATACACTATATTTATCATTCGTAGTTATATTTTTCAAAAAATTACCATCTTTAGCAATATTTGAATTTTATAGCAAATTCACCTATAGTAATAAAACAAAAGATCAATTTTGTTTTGAACTGATAACTTAGTTGGTTAGAGCACCTGCTTACTTAGTAAGCATAGGCCTTGAGTTTGATTCTTAACAAAAGTAATTTATTTTTTGTATTTCTGTATTTTGCCTTGGTTGTATTTGTTGTGCGAATGGATACAGTCGATATAGGTTGTATTATTGTATAGTCGATACAGGTTGTATTATTGTATATGCCCTTGTATTCGCCTCTCAACAACATTTTATTTTCTGTATTTCTGTATTTTGCTTTGGTTGTATTCATTGTGCGAAGGAATATAGTTGATACATGTTGTATCATTTGTATACCGCCTTATATTTCTCCTTAGTTATATTCGTTGCACGAACGAATACAGTTAATACATGTTATATCCGTTGTGCGAACAAATACAATTGCGCGAATAAATACTGTTAATACATGCTATATTCGTTGTGCGTCTGTATACAAGTGATATAAGTTGGTAACAATTAAATGGTAATTAGGCAACTGCAGTGCTTTATGAAAGTTCCCTAAAAATTAAGTAGGACCAAAGAACTAAATCATTCTTTCTGAGTTTGGCGGTGAATGAGATTGTTAAATTTAATTATAATTGTAATAGTATTTTCCAATTAAGGGTTCGTTTGGGGTTCGGTGGATGAGGAGAATATGGTTTAGAGAAAGAAGATATTCTTTTAATAGAAATTATGTATATAATTTCTTACTTTTTAGTAACATTAATATGGACATAATAAATCAACCTAAAACAAACAAAAAAAGAGTCTTAGATACGATAATAAGCAAATTGCCTTCGAAATGAGGTTTAACTTTTAAAACTAAATTGCAGTTTCAAAAAACTCTAAAGTTTTAGCTTATGTCAAAAGTGTTCTCTGGATAAATTCTCTACAACTTGAATAAACTTGTTAACATTTACAAAACAAATAAAATAAGTATGACTTTTATGCCACATATTAAACACTAAACCCGGAACACAACGCAATCTTCTAAAGGGATGTCCATAATCTACTGAAAGTTGAATATGTATATGTATATATTAATCATATATGTATTATAGTCAGAGGCGGATCTAGGATTTAAGGTGGCGGGTGCCAAAATTTCCTTCAATGTACACCTTATAATAACTACTAATATATAGTTCGTTCGGAACGCTTGTCCGGTTCATTTTTTTTTAGTTTATTTGGACAATTCAATAAGCACTTTATTTGCAAATATAAAAATTACAAAAAATTTCCAAACCTTACTTATGGAATTTCATTGGGTATATATGTTATTATTGGCGTATGAAAGTTACATCTCAGACGTTAAGAAGCAAATATAATTAACATTTTAAAAAAGGAATCACACTTTTATTATTAATAATACAAATAAAATCAATATTTTCACTAGGGAACTACATTTTTTTGTATGCTAAAAATAAATTTGCACAAGTAAAATAAAATCTTTAATAAGGGAACTCCACCGACCAGAATAAGGAAAAAAAAAATATCTTCAATAGATAAAGTATACCCCATAAATAAATGCATAATTAGATAAACTGTATGATCTCAAAACTTAAAATCATAAATCTAATGCTTGCGAAATATTTATTATAATTTATTACTAAAGAGATTTAAATTGTATTTAACAATTATAAAATAACACAAATTTTCATGTTATAATAAAAAAACAAATTATAAATTAATTTTGATCTCAATCTAAATATCAAGACCCAAGTTTTTTGATTTTGAAAGAAGAAAACTAAAAGATTTGAGATTAAGAGAAATGCTTATATTATGAAATTTTAAATTTTGGAGGCTCTTTTTTGAGTGTTCTTGCTAAATATCACAAATAAAGTAATAGAATAGAGGGAAAAAATAAAAATAATAAACGACAAATACGAATCTGGGAGATAGCCAAAAAGGAAAATGACTAGGATAATAGAAATAAAAAGCACAACGAAAAAGGAAAGTCAGACAAGGTTAAAGATAAATTCGAACTTAAATTTTACACACAAGAAAAACTTTCAAAAAGGTCTACCAATCATGACATCTTTATCTAGTTTGCGAATGAGGGTGGCATGATCATATATTTAACCTAATTTAAATTTTTTTATATATAAATATATGATAATTTTACCAACCGAGCGGGTGTCATACCACCCCCACCCATAAAGGTGGATCTGCCCCTGATTATAATGTGTATAGTCAATGTATAATGTATATAAATTGCTAAAAAAAGTAAACAATGAATATGACCGGCTATTTGTGTAAAGATCCCTAGTACTAATAACAAACGAAAAGTTCATGTAGCTATAGGTATTGAGATTTCTGCTACGAAAAATTAAAAAAGAGAAACACAATCTTTAAAGTGCATGTCAGGATTTTGTGCTTCTTTTGCCCTTTTCTTTCATTTCAGATTACTTTTTAAATGGATTGTTATTACATATATAAGAATAATTCTCTTCTAATTGGAAAAATTTCCTAAACTCAATGCACATATCACGCACCATTAAGAACATAGAAACGATTAAAAAGGAAGGGGAAAAAAAAAAAAAAGTCTTTGATCTTTAAATTCACCGACTTTTATGGTGCATTTCTAGCTGAGTTGGTGAAATAAAGCATAACCAGGACGTGCACACTTGTCGGCGGAGGATATCATTCTAATTAAAACATTGCTTGTGTTTTAAGGTATCCGCATTGACTTCCTTCTTTTGCACCATTTAAGGAGACAGTCCTAAAATAAAGGGGAATTAGGCTTTTTTTATATATATTTTATCTTCAGCAATAAAATATTGTTTCGTATGTTTTAATATAAACTATCACGTGGAGCCTTGGCGTAACTGGTAAAGTTGTTGCCGTGTGGTCACGGATTCAAGCCATGAAAATAGCCTCTTGCATAAATGCAGGGTAAGACTACGTACAATAGACCCTTGTGGTCCGACCCTTCCCCGGATCCTACGCATAGCGGGAGCTTAGTACACCGGGCTGCCCCTTTTTTTTATCATATATATAAGCAGTGTATTACTAAGCAGTTCCGTCATGTAAAAGAAGTATAAGAAATTCATAATATTAAACTAGCATATGAATATTATCCGTAACATTACTCCAAGGGGATAAATAATGTTTTTACTTATCATTCATGTGACTCCAACTTTCGGTCAATTGGTAATAAAGATATTCCACCACCCGAGAGCAGATGCGGATTTAGAATTTTATAACATGGGTGCACCATTAAAAAGAGAAGGAAAAAAAAGTACGAAGTGGGATTTGATCCTTGCTTCTCTAAATAAATAATTCAACATTCAACCAAGTGCACCATTTAACCTCATTGGAGCATGGTGATCACGCCCAACTATGCCTTATAAAAAGGACTAAGCGGTCGTTGCAAATATAATCTGGTTTACAAGTTCGGAGTCGAATCTCACAGAGAACTAAGGCGTAACTATAGTTGTTCAATATCGCTAAGAAACACAAGTTCAAACAATTTCCTAATTATAAAGATTATAGTGTTTATTTTTATCTAATTAACTAACAAATACTAGAAAGCAGTAAAACTATCAATTAACAAGGATAAAGATTGGATACAAGATTAAAGATGTCTAGAGTTATGATTTCCCCTATTGTCGGAATCTTTTCCGCTACGTTTCCTATAAATTTGCCTAAGTTTTCTGTACCGATCATGAGTACTCTGACTGTCGTAACTCTCTCCCGAGTAATTACCACAATTTACTAAACATATTCTCTCGAACTACGCTAGCTGATAATAAGTACGGCTCACTCGGATCGCACCAAAGTTTCGTTATCCCTAATCTCACCTTTAAACCCTCCATGTTGATCCCTCATGTATGTTAGGAGTGATGTTGTTCAACAACTACCTAAATAAGCACTCTCTCCCGACTAATACACTCTAAATAGGCACAATCGATTGAGAGCTCTTCAACCAACCACAATATAAACGTAGTTGAACAATTAGAGAAAAAGCTACAACAAATCTATATTAACGTATCAAGAAAATCATCCTCCAATAGGTTCCATCAAAACCTAGATAACAAATTAGCTATTCATAATAGTATGCATAACTACAATACTAGAATTTGTAACCAATAATGAAAATAGGAAGAAGGAAATGAAAAACTCGTAGAAGAATTCTCCGCCTTGCTCCTAGTGTGTTCTTGCCTCCTTAGACCAAATCTCTCCTCTCCTTAGCCTCCTTAAGTCTAAATTATATCAAAAGTATGCCCCCCTCGTACTCAAAATAGCGTTTTTACATGTATTTATACCAAATAGGGTCAGGCCCAAACGAAACATCTTTTCCTGCGTGAAATAGGACTCTAGCTTTGTAAAATTTGCATAGGCGCGCCGCATGAGGCGACACGCCACGCGGTGTGCTTGTGGGGAAGTTCAGAGAGTTGATTCTAATAAATGGGTAAGGCTTGTAATGTGATTGCCAAAAAACCAAGATTACATGCTCAAAGGGGTTAACTACGATACATAACAATTAGGCAGGTAATATATATATATANGTAAGTTCAAGACATCAAATGCAATGCACAAAATAACACAAAACCTTACACACACTTGGCACATAACTCACTCAAGATTGGACTCATCAAGTCACTCTAGTCAAAGCAGTTAAGCAAAGTTAAGGTCATACAATTTAGGGTACTTCTACAAGAGTCAAAAACTGAGCCTAATTGTCACAACCAAAGTACTCACTATTCTCAAGGCATAACAAAGTCAAGAGTTATTGCTTCAATTCAAAACACAATACAAGTTTTCCTATTTCTAATAAAAAATAAAAACTA